GAAGATAGCGAGAAACCTCGTGATGTCGTCATGGCTCGAGGGGGCCTGGGTCGGTCCTCCTGCCTCCCCCGGCAAGCCCGGGCCGCCCAGGGGCGGGGGGCGGCGAGGGCGCGGCGGGAGCCGCGGCGCGCGCAGGGGGCGGCCGCGGGCCTGCACGTCGCAGCTCGTCCCCCGCCCGGCCATTCGGGCATCTCTGGCGTGGCCCAGGAGCACAGAAACAGAGAGACACGCTAGGGGAACAAAAAGTGACGTAAACATAAAAACTCGGAGGTCTGCGCGAATTTCTCGGATCGGCGCTGGGGCCCCCCGGCGGCGCCTCCGGCGCCGCCCCTGGCGCGCTCCGCGCGCCAGGGGGGGGGGGCCAGCGCCGATCCGAGAAATCCGCGCGGACCTCCGAGTTTTTATGTTTATGCCACTTTTTGTTCCCCAACAGATGTTCCCAGGTGTTATCGGTTTCTGCCTTCTTCCCCCCCCCCACTTCACACGTGTTCCCATGCCTTCCCGGGAGTCGATGATTCACTGTGCCTGTGTTTTTTTTTCCCCTCCTGAGCAGTCCAGAATGGCTCAGGAGTTGCCGTGTCTTTCCCTGCAAGGCGGCGGGCGCGCCCGCCAGCGCAAGCTGAAGATCCGCCCCCAAGAGATGGCAACCTGCTTGGGCTCGGGGGTTCCAGAGCCCGCCATGTCCTTGCCCCCTCCCTGGCGCCACTTTTTGCTTTCCTCGCCCCACTATCCTTTCCTCGCCCTCCCCTGATCAATCATTGGACACCAGCTATGCCACATCCTGACCAACATCGGGACTCGATTTTCGGCCTCCATAATGGGCAATTGCCCGGCCCTGGCACCGTCAAAACCGACTCGCGGTGAAACGCCAGCCTTGGGGGCAAGTTTTCAGTTTCCTTGGACCGCGTATTTGAAAGTCAAGTACTAGTACGCGTGGGATGCCAGAACTTTCTGCTGGTTGCAGCTGGCAAGATCGGTCGCTACCGGTTTTTCTTGAAATTCTGGTACGGCCGGACCTAAGACAGAAGACTGTGCTTCAAAACCACGAGACCCTCCGCCACCAAACTGAAGAACGTTCGGGGATATCCCCCCCAGGATGCACAAGAGCATCAGACAAACACGAAGAACAGTACCGCACCTCCCCGAACCGGCCTCGATCCTCTGCCTCGGTCAACCCGCATCGGTCACGACCGATGTCATAATCGGTCGCGATCAGCCGCGACCGATGTGGAGTGCCGAGAGGTCGCTGCCGATCGCGACCGATTGAATATGTACATATATATGCATATATGTATATGTTTACGTATATGTATGTATATATGTGTATATGTATGTGTATATATATATATGTATATTTACCGCATAGACCACCCTTCGGGTGATAAGGAGGTGAGGGGGGGGGGAGGGACCAACGTCGCACTCGATCGATCTCACTATCGAACTCACTACCGATCTCACATTCGATCTCAATCGATAGATCTCACAATCGATCTGACTATCGATCTCACAATCAATCTCACAATCGATCCCACAATCGATCTCAAATTCGGTCTCGCTATTGATCTCGCAATCGATATCACTATCGATCTCGCATTCGATCTGACTATCGATCTCACGATCAAACTCACTATCGATCTGATTATCGATCTCACATTCGCCCGCCCACGCAGCTTCGCCTCGCGCACGGCACGCACGAACACGAAACCGAAATCGATTTCCCGGTAAGGGGGCTCTCCGTTCCACTTCGATCTCACCCCCTCACCTCCGATGTATATATATATATGTGTATGTGGTGCCCGATGGTCAGGGCTGTCTTCTCCTCGCTCTGCCTCGCTCGCCCTCCCCCCCCGACCTCCGACGCCGTGTTCTTTGTATGTGCCACGACGGGCCAACCTTTTCCACCACCCCTACGGTAGGACGGGGGAGAAGGGAGAATGGAGAGGTCCTCCTCCTCCTCCTCCCCCTTCTCCCCCCCCTCCTCCTCGTCCTCCTCCCCCTCCTCCTCCTCCTCCTCCTCCTCCTCCTCCTCCTCCTCGTCCTAGCCTCCTCCTCCTCCTCCTCCTCCTCCTCCTCCTCCTCCCTCTGCCACCTGTGGCAGCGGTGGTCGACAATCCGCCCATCATTCCACAGCGTGGACTGAAGGTCCCGACCCCTTCCCTGGGACCCGTCTTCCTCCCCTTCACCTTTCCTGGTCGTTCCAAAAGTTCCCCTCCCCCCTCACCGGCCTCCTTCCCTTCCCATTCCTTCCTTGGTCGTCCAAGCGTCCCCTCGCCCCTGCCCTTTCTCCTTCCCTTCCCTTCCCTTCCCTTCCCTGGTCGTCCAATTTTTGTTGACGTCCCCGACCTCTGGAGGTCCAAGACGGGCTAGACCTGCCGTCCCAACGACGCCACAAGAGGTCCAAGACGGTAAAGACCTGCCGTCCCAACGACGCGACCGTCCCAACGACGCGACAAGACCCCACCCGTACCCAACTCCCAAATCATTGGATACCAAATGTGTTCGGTGGCGATCGCTAGCAACCGATCGGCACTCCAAATCGGTCGCGACCGATCGCGACAGACCGGTCGCAACTGATTTTGAAGCAACGCGATCGCGACCGATGCCTGAGCTTGGAGAGCAAAATCGGCAGCGACCGACCGCGTCGGTCACGACAAGAACATTTTCCGGCGTCCCAGGCCCCCGACGCCATGACTTCTGCCCGGCTTCCCATGGGACCCATCCCCCGGGACCCGCTTCCCATCCCCTGGGCCTCGGGCCTCGACACATCCCCTGGGGCCCGCTTCCCATGCCGAGTCGCTCTCGGATGGTCTCGAGTCCCAGTGAGGGCCCCAGGAGGTCGAAGACGATGAAAATAGCCTCCCGTCATGATGCTTCAGGGACCGAGTGGATCTGGGTCCGTTCTAGACCTCCTAGATTGGCTCCGAGCAGATGGGGTCGGAGGATCGCGCCGCATCGCCGATGCATCGGCGCTGCGGCTCAATGTGGAGCCCGCGCTGCCCCACGCCGACGCCGCCGATGCATCGCCGACGTCGCCGAGGCATCGCCGAGGCACCGCCGATACATCGGCGATGCATTGGCGATGCGGACCGATCCTCCGACCCCATCCACTCGGACCCCAGCTGGGAGGCCTCGGTGCGTCGCGACCAGACACTTCGGGCATCCAGTGATCTGGGGGGCCCTCGGGACCGGGAGTCGTGCGGCGGGATCACGAGCTCCTTCGGCGACACCTCGAGGCGGGCCGGGGCGCGCCCTCCGCTCGGGCGTATACTACAGTCGAACCTGGGACAGACGACCATCCCTCAAGATTACGAGACCCTCCGCCAGCCAAAACGCACAGAACATCCGAGGGTACGGTGCACACAAAAACATGCAACAATGAAGGGGCCCCAGGACACACAAATAAATACACACAAATAAAAGGATCCCCCATATTTTCCTATATTTTCTGGGTTTTTGTCTTCCCCCCCACTTCCCACATTTCCCCATATTTTCTGGGGAGTCGAGGATTAATTGTGTCTGTGTCTTTTTTCCCCTCCTGAAGCAAGCACGAAGAACATCAGGGCACCCTCCCCGGACCGACCTCGAGGGAAGGGGGCGCTTCGGCTCGGCTCGGTCGGCCCTCGGGGAGGGAGTGCCTCCCCGACCCCAGGAGGAGGAGGAGGAGGAGGAGGAGGAGGAGGAGGAGGAGGAGGACATTGACATTCGCTTCGGGGCTGAACTAAAGCTCAAGCACGTTCCGCGGACAGCAACTGACCCCCAGTCCAAGCCTGGGGCGTTGCCAGTTCCGAGTCGGCGCCAAGAACCCTACCCCAGGAAAAGGAGGGGAGGAGAAGGACATGCATGAAACACAACTCGCCCGGGTTAAACGCTGCCCACCTTCTAATGGGCCGTTCCCAGGCCAGAACTGAAACAATGCAGAACTTCCCCAGAACGGGGCAGAGAATCCCATCCCACCCACCAGTGACCCCCTCCCCAGACAAGAGCAATCCCTGAACGCCAACTTGCAGGTTCGGACTTTCGAGCATGGTGAGACCATGGCAAGACCCGCCAGGGAAGGCCACTTGCTTTCGCCTGTGACCTGGCTGCCAATTCCTTGAACTGTCTGGAGGGAGGAAGGAGGGAGGGGGAAAAGAAGGACGGGGAAGGGGAAGGAGATCAAGACTGCAAAGCACTGGGGTAAACTTTCTTCCCACAAACTAGTGGGAGTCCCCTAGCAGAGCGAGACCACCGTTCCCCACAGGGAAGAGAGAATACTAGGGGATTGCTTCGCCAGACTTTCCTGGACCCCTGAAAGTAAAATAAACTGGGCTGAATACAGCTGCCCAACTAGCGCATGAAGAGGAAACTGCAGGTAAGCTACCTGCTTCACAGTTCTGCCGATCTGGCCAAGGAAACAAGACGTGAAGGTAAAAGAAACGCTGGGTAGCTGACAACTGAGGAGGAGGAGGAGGAGGAGGAGGAGGAGGAGGGGGAGGAGGAGGAGGAGGAGGAGGAGGAGGAGGAGGAGGAGGAGGAGGAGGAGGTCCATAAGGCACTCCACCGCGCCGGCCTGCTCAGAAGAAGGACGGGGGAGGAAACGACGAGGACGAGGAGGGGCCAAGGAGGAGGTGTTCGGCATTCTCGACAACCTCCGAACGTTGCTGGTTTGGGAAAAAGCTCCCCACGGATATGGAGGAGGGCGGAGGGGGGGAAGAGTCTTCATTTTCTCCCTGTCTCCTTATTGCCCTTGCCCTATTCCCAATCCCTCCCCATGCTTCCCTCCATCCGTTCCACTCCTCTCCCTTCCAAACAGCGACAGCACTGGGACGACCAACGTCAGGCAAAGGAGAGAACCCGAGCGATGGACAAGGATCCAGGCAGCCACGCAGAATGTCATGGGTCAGACCAACGGCGAAACAAATTCAACAATGCTAAGCTGGTGAAAGTAAGTCATGGGACGAGAAAAAATCAGAGGCGTCGGCGGGCTGATAGCGGGGCGTGTGGACAATTGGCCGCCGGGCCTCAAACGGGCTTTCCTCGGTGCTGGCACCCTTCTTCCCTTTGTCCTCCCGAAGCGGCAACCAGAATGGACGCAATGATCGTTGCCGCCGGATCTCTCGTGTCCCGTCGTCCGCTGCAGAAGACAACCGCTGCACGGTGAAATCGCCGCTGGTGCTCTGACGGATTGCGTGCCACTGGTGCCGTCTGGGCGGAAAGATTCCGCCGACCCAACTGCACAAAACACGCAAAGTCAATACCAATGTCACGCTGGCTGGACGACCCCATCAGCGCGCTCATGCTCCAAGGAGCACAAGGAATCTCTCCACACATCGAATGAATAGCACGCACAATTTGAAAGACGACGCGCGCGCCATTGATACGCTTGCCCTCCCGACGCGACCACAGATCGCGTGCACGACAGGAGAGTTGAGCAGGGACCTACCGTCCTGGCATTCCTACAGGGCTACAACGACATGTTCTCAGAACCAAGAAATGCTCGAAGAACACAAACAATGTTCTTCGAACATACACCCGATGTGTAAACAAAACAGTATCAGCCACAAATGCTCTAAAAACGTCTCGTGCAGACCATACAAAAGGTTCTGAAACTATTCTTTGGTGGGCCTATAGGTGTCAATGTTTGTCTTTCCAAGGTTCCGGTCGTTACCCGTGAGAGGGGGGGGGGCCGGGCGGGAGGGTAACGGTGACGGCCGCCGCGGCGTACATCCCCCAGGGTGCGCCCGCGCCACCAGGAGCATAAATCGCCTATGCGTGCACCACAGCATGTGGCGGGGGGGGCCATCCCCCCCGATACGATCGCCAGCGTTGCCCACGGGGGGTGGGGGGGCGTTCGCCCGGGCAACGAGCGTCACCCTGGGGAGGAAACAGAAACGCTCCCTAGGCCTAGGTCGGGCATGTCCTCCTATAAACGGATGTGGGAAGGTTTTTTGTTTTCTTTTTTTGTTTATCGGCGGCGAGCGAGGGGGAACAGACAAGGAGAAGGCCTTCTAAGAAGGTTCGGAAGTCCCCCGGTCTTCTGAGAAGTTTTCTAAGCCTTCCCTGAAGACAGAAGATACTTCTCAGAAGGCGCGAGGGCTTCTGAGAAGTCCCGCCGCCTTCTGAGAAGGCCTCCTCCTTCTCATCTCCCCCCCTCGCTCGCCGCCAAGTTTAAGAAAAAAAGAAGAGGCCTCCACAATGACCAGCCATATCAGACGGACCGTCCCCAGGCTATATCTTGACAACTTCTGCACACGCCTCCTGCAGAGGGACAGCTGGACCTGCCCGATACTCGGCACCGGGCAGGCCGGGGCGCTGTGCCACGGCTCGAGCGAGCGAGGCGCACGGTGCAACCGCAGCGGGCGACCCACGCAACAGGGGGAGAGGGCACGACGTGTGGCGAGAGCGGGGGGGGGGGGCGGATACCCCAAATCCCCCAGCAATCGACCCCCCCCCCAACAAAAAAAACAGACGCCCCTCCAGATGCGACCACATATTCCGAACCCCCTTCTTCGACGGGGCGCCCTCATAAGCGGGACCCCCTGAGCTCCAATCCAAGGAACGCGCCCTACAGGGCAGTTTTTAATACATCGGATTCTTTTTTTTTATGATTTTGAATGCATGACCAATTTATGAATAAATGTATGCATGAACTCCTCATTGTTGTTTTTCATGCTGAATCCCTGCATTTTTTATACATGGTCCGCACGCGGAGCATGTGTTAAACACTGCCCTGTAATAAACCGTGCCTAAAACAGGGCTAGGATCGGGATAAATCGCTCCAGAGCGTTCCGGAGCGCTCTCAGAGCGTTCCGGAACGCTCTGGAGCGGCCGCGGCGCCCAATACATCCTCCAAACCCGCCGATTCTCAAAGATTTCGAATTATCCCGATCCGATTTTGTCCCGATCTTCGCGTCGTTTTAGGACCCCCCCCCAATTGCCAAACAGGCGCCTCCAAAAGCCGGACTCGGGAGACGACTAACATAAGGCATCCGGAGAGTACGGCAGGTTCGTGTCGTGACGACCCCGGCGTTGGTTCCTGACACCGCGCTGGATCGTTCAACCTTGAACGATCGGCCGTCTCCGCAACGTCCGATCGTTCAACATCGACCGATTCTGGGCCGCCGTCGGCGTTCAACGTTGAACGTCGGCGGCGGGGTCGCCGCCGGTCGACACGACGCGAACCTACCGTACGGGGCAGCGCCGGAGCGCCGTCCGGCATGCGGGCAGGCCGGGGAGAGGCCGGGGGCCCCCCTTCGATTGGCCACTCGGCGGCACCCAAAAAAAAACCCGACGGGAGGCTCGTCGCCGTCCTCGGCCTCTGCAGGGCCCTTGCCGCCGGGCCTCGAGGCCGCGGGGCAAAAACGGCTGGGGAGGAGAAGCCAGTGCTGGGCAGCGGGTCGAGACCTGCAGGGGTCGACGTTTCCGTGGCAACTCATGGGAGCCTCCCATGGCAGATTGTCGGTTCTCGCAGAACGATGCCATATCGACGCCAAACCGACGCTGATCGATGCCACACCGACGCTGACTCGACGCCGAATCAACGCCAGCTCGACGCTATCCCATCGGCTCCCGAGTGCCAATCGACGCGAATCGACGCTAGAGACGGACTTCAGAGGGTGCACAAGGCGTCCATGATTTGCTACCGAACCAACCCCCGCGTGCACATGCACACACCAAAGGACGAAGCCAAGACGAGGCTCACATCGGGGTGACCCGCGGACCCCCAGAACGCTCTCAGCATGCGAAGCTGGTGGAGAAAGCACTCCGAGGCCAGAGAACCTCCAGGAGCCGAGGAAAAATGTCCCAAGGCATCCTCCGATGCGATCTGTCCAGCCCGTGTGCCCAAAGCGCCCGGCACCTCTCCCTGGGGGCAATCTCCCATCCTGGGCACATTTGTGGGGGCCACGGGTAAGACGAAGCCATGACGAGGACAACATCGGGCGAGGACAAGTCTGGAAACTCTGAGATCTGGCGGCTGTGGAGGATGTATCGGGCGCCGCGGCCTTCTCAGAGCGTTCCGAAGAACACTCTGGAACGGATGTTTAACCCTCGTGCCAGCCCCGCCCGGTACACGCACATACACACACACACACCTCGCCAACGCTCGGACGTCCATTCCTCGTTCGTTTTTCGATGTGGTGCGTGTATTTTCAAACATATGAGTCAAGACGCTCCTCGATGGTCCTCGTCGAGACAAAGCGCACACATCAGAGCGATGCCAACACACACACACACACACACACACACACACACACACACACACACACACACGCACACACACTTGGGCGTGTCGCGGTTGCGCGCGCCGAGTCGCTGCGGCGTCGGTCGGGCGGAGAGAGAAGAGCACACAGGTCTTCACGCAGGCACCTCCGAGGCGGCACAGGGGTCACACATCGGGGGAACCACGCTGCGCGGGAATCTCCCGGGGAGCAGCAAAGAGAGGCGACGTGCGCGTGCGGCTGCAAACACACGCACTAAGACGAAGCCAGGACGAGGATAACATCGGGTAACGAAAAATGGAGAACCTCTGAGATCCGGCGGCTCTGGAAAATGTGCGATATCGGGCGTCGCGGCCTTCTCAGAGCGTTCCGGAACGCTTTGCAACGGATTCATCCGCGTCCTAGCCCCGCCCAACGCACCCACCCACCCACCCACCCACCCACACACCCACACACACACACACACACACGCACACTTCTTGGCGGTCGCGGCCTCGCGCGCAGCGACAAGGACGACGGGCACGAGCAGAAACAGAGATCGAATGGAACTACTCCAGCAGAATGACCGCGATCGCGTGCACGCGCAATTCTGGACAGCACAGCATGAGCACACTCAACAGTTGCGCACGGAAGTAACAATTCATGCGCATAGAAGCGCACACGGATATGGGACAGGCGATGACGCAAGTAGTGCGAACGATAAAAGAGTGGGTGTTGTCTGCGTCCTTGGCAGACGCATCTGCTTCTTCCTCGCGCCCAGAGGGGAGAAAGGCTGGATGGGGATGCGGACGGAAAGCATGAAGAAGAGCGAAGGAGAGGGAAGAAAAGCAGCTAATTATGCTGGGCACTCGTACTGTGTGGCCATCCGCATCCTTCTTCCATTTGAACTCTGTTCCGCTCTGCGTCCTCTTCAAATTGCCTCTCCGACTCTCCTCCCCCTGTCTTCTCCCAAATTCACTTGGGTACTGCCAACCCGTGTAAAAAGGATGCGCGATAAGGATGCGAGGGCCTTGAAAGCCATGCCGACACTTTGCGGGCGGGGCGCGGCCAGCGGAAGCGGCCAAGGATGGGCTGAACGGGGCAGGATGCAGGGGTACCCTTGGAAAGTCGATCCTCCTTACTGTGCGAGTCGACTATATCTCTCCTCTCCCAGTGTCTCGGACTGTCCATCCGAAGCTCACCCCTCGTTCTTAGCCTGGGCTCTCTTCCTCTCCCCTCTTCTGCTGCTCGCCCTCCCTCAAGAGAACCCGACCAACACACGACACCATCCTACACGCTCAGGCCCCCCCCTCGGGCACCTGTTCTGGGCAGAAAGATCTGCGACCACGCCCACCGCCCAAAAGAAACATTCGAACGCGAGGCGGCCAAATGCTCCGCACGAGGAACATGACACGTGGATCACCCACATACCCCCAGGGGTTGTGGGAGTATGCGACGTCGGCCTCCGCACTTCAGAAACACCGCCGCGTGCTCAAAGGGCTGGAGCCCGATTCTCAAACAGAGGGCGGTGCCGAGTCCCCACCGCCATATGTAACTGGCCAGCTCTGGAAACCCGGAACCCCAAAATGCTGCCGTCTCTTGGGAGCCCATGTTTTACAGTAGGCGCTCGACCACAAGGAGCCTTCCACAAGAAACCCAACCCTGAGACCCCAGGGCGTCCACTGATGTTTGGTGTGGGAACGTCACGCTTTCCATAGCAAAACCATCGAAACCCAAGAATCCCCAGGGGCACCCTGGAGGCAAGCAGGGTGTCTCTTGGCATGGGCCTCCACTGTACCGACACCGCTGCTCCCTGGACCTGGCCCCGGGGCGCGCCCTGACCAGAATTCAACGAGGAATGCAGACGTGGTGGCGAGGGCCCTCCAGGACGAGCAGCTTCCCGACGACCTACCAGACCACCCAACCCCACCCGAGGGCCCGAACTTCGGGGCGTTGCGTGGGGGGGGTGCGGGCCTCACATGTGGTCTGTCAATGCTCCTCGCCCCGCCCCCCCCTGGGAATGGAGGGCACATTGGGGCCTCGGGGTGGGTGTGGGGTGGTTTGGGTGGGTGACGATTTCCTCCCCTGCTCACCTGGAGCAGCCAGCCGCGGCGGCGCCGCGACGAGGGGCCCCTGGGACCCCCAAGGGGAGAGCAGCGAAGCCGCAGGCGGCGACGGGCAGCGCGGCGACCGCCCTGCGCCGCGCCGCCCGCAGCGTGTGGCGGGGCACCCCCTCCGCTCAGCGCGTGCTCGGGCCGTGCGTGGCCACGTGCCGAAGCCCGCTGCGCTGTGAGACGAAGCCGGGACGAGGCTAAACATAATCGAGCGAGGAGAAGTCGAAAACCTCTGAGATGTCTCGGGCGCCGCGGCCTTCTCAGAGCGTTCCCGGAACGCTCCGAGGGCGTTCCGGAACGCCCTGGAACGGAATCATCCTCGTCCCAACCCTTGCCGACGCTGCCCCATCTCACCGCATCTGGCCTGCCCAACCCTGCTTCTATCATGGCCTCCTCCTGAGCTAATGTTAGAAACGCTCGGGACCGTTCTATTATTTTATGTGTTATATAAAAACGTACTGAACATATCGGAATCCGGCCAACCAACACGGAACCTGGCCATCGCTCGGACGTCCATTCCTGTGTTCTTTTCGGTTTCGTGCGTGGTTTTTTCGCCGAATGATCAAGGATGCTCCTCGATGGCCCTCGCCGAGAAAAATGCACACGTCCGAGCGATGCCAGGGGAACAAAAAAACACCGGCAACCCAACACGGAACAAACAGCAGCACGTACAGCGCTGAACCGAACCGAACACGGCGCGAAGGAGACTCCCGGAACGAACAGAAGCTCGCCCCAAGGCTGTCAACAACAAAACGCCCCCCCGCCCCCCTCTCTCGAGGGGCATCGATACGGGGGTGGGACCGGCATAGGGGTGAAGAGGAGGAGGAGGAGGAGGAGGAGGAAGACGCTCAAAACGCTGCCCACGCGAGATGGCATAGCGACCCCACGCCGCGGCTTACGCGCACCGCCAGCACGGCACGCCACTGTGGAGACGTGGGCGCTTCCGCGCGACCTTACGCGGGCAGCTTGCGCGCTGATGTCGGCGCAGACGACCCCGTCTATCGGCGCCGCTCGCCTGGCATCGGCGACACCTCGCCGATGGCTCGGCGATGGCCCCCCGACAGCGGACGCGCACGCTCACGGGCGGGGTGGGGCCACCGGGCCCCTGTCGGCGGTGAGTGGGCGATCGGGGGTCGATGCACCTCCCCTCCATATGCCTGCAGCCGAGCCGCTGCACAAGGAGCGGCAGATCGGGAACGGAGCCCCCCTTTGGCCCCAGACGCGCAAGCGTGCACGAGGAGGGCTGGGGAGGAGCGACCACAGGATCACCAAGGGAGCATCGGGCCCCTTTCGCGCCCAAGCTGCTCCTTATTTCAGCGTCTTGACTGTTGTTTGTGTTTTGTTTTCAGCGTCCTGACTGTATCGCTGCCCCTGACATCCCTCCCTGACCTCTGTCCAACGCCTGCCTACCCTCGCCCCCCCTCCGCTCCCACGGGGCTCGGTGGCTTCCGAGCGCCATGCTGTCAGGCAGCCCCCTGGCAAGACGGCCCAGCACAGATCCGAGACGAAGAGATTCGCGCGGACCTTCGACCCCTGAGGTCCGTGTAGTGATTTCCTAGGATCGTCAAGACGCAACAGTCAGGTTGATCTGTGGCGTTGAAATCCCGAGAGCAATGTTTCGGCATGTTTCCGGGTCTTCTAACGGCTGTCTTCCAACGAGGCAGGTCCCTCAATAGAAATGAACCGTTGTAGGGGCCTACGAGGAGGGAGTTTGGAGGGAGGGTGTACTCCAACAGCGTTGATGTCTCTTGGGTTTACACTGGTCCTGCTCCTCCTCCTCATCCTCCTGCTCCTCCTTCTCCTGCTCCTCCTGCTCCTCCTGCTCCTCCTCCTCCTCCTCCTCCTCCTCCTCCTCCTCCTCCTCCTCCTCCTCCTCGTGCGACCCACCTGCCCGCCGCCTTGCCCCGCCCGCGCGCCTGGGCGAACTCTCCTGGTATCTACCGACCCGGGCCAGACAGGCCGTGCAGGATCCTGCAGGGCCCTGCAGGGTCCTGCGCGCAGGCCTGGGGCCGTGCAGCCCTGGCCCCGCAGGATCCTGCAGGATCCGGCGCTCCAGCTGACCCCCGTTTGTAACGACCCCCGTCGCAAGGCTCCCGAACTTTCACGGGGGAGACCAAGCGGGACCGATACCGCTGCTCCCCAGACCTCTCTCGGGGTGCGTTCCGGCCAGAGTTGCGAGGCGAATCCAGCGGTGGCGACGAGAACTTCCGAGGAGGCCTCACAAAAAAGGGGAATGTGGGGATGGGGCAGAGGTGTGGGTGCCTGCTCCTCCTCCTCCAAATCTCACGGCTCCGGACCTTTTGCAGGGGGCGGGCGGGTGGAGGCACTCGCGAGGCGGGCGCACGGGCGCACCCCGCCGCGGCGGCGCAGGGCGGCGCACGCTCCGGCGCACGAGGCGCCTCCCTCCCCCCCCGCGCGCAGAGGGGGCGGCCGAGCAGGACCGCCGCCCGCCGCCTGCTGGGAAGGAGTGGCAGGCGGAGGGCCCCTGGCCCTCGGGGAGGGGGCCAACGCGAGGGGGGCCGGCAGCAGCAGGGATGCAGCAGGGCCGGGGCGTCCACTGGTGCTCGGTGCGGGAGCGCCGTGCTTCCCATGGCAAAGGCACCCAAACCGAAGAAACCCAGGGCCCCCTGGAGGCGAGCGAGCAGGGTGTTTCTTGGCAAAGGGCCGCTACTGCAGGGCGTCTGCTCTGCAGACGCGCGTAGAGCCACGATCCCTGGTGCACAGACGGGGGGCCAAGTGAGGCCGCGTCTGCAAGATGCTCCTCCTCCTCCTCCTCCTCCTCCTCCTCCTCCTCCTCCTCCTGTGTGTGAGCACTTTGTTACCAGACAACCGGTGCGCCGTCAGAGACGGCGGCGAGCCTGCGGAGGGCTCGCGAGATGAGCGATCTTCCCAATACTACATTGCTGCTTTCTGCTCCTGGTCTGATCTTCCTCAGCCTTCTATCCCACCTCCACCTCCAGACTTCCTACTCTTACTACGATGCTTTTCCACCTCCTCGACCTCCTCACCCTCCTTAGCTTTCTGTCACCTTCTTCTCTTCCTCGCCTTTGTGGCCACCTCCTCAGCCACCTCACTGTCCCCTTCCTCTTCCTCCTCAATCTTTCCTTTCTCCTCCTCAGCGAGGGCGGTTCTCGTCCTCCTGGGCCTCTTTGCCTGCTCTCCCTCGGCGTCCGTGCGGCGATGTCTCTGATGCAGGATGCATTGCCAGACGCTGGCCATGTAGTGGATCCGCTGTTTGAACTCCTCCAACCTCCCTCTTGCTGCGGAGCAGCCTGGTTGGCCAGACCGGCCCCTCCGGGTTCGGCGGGATCGCCACGAACCTCCTCCAGCGCGCAAACCTCGGGCATCTCCAGAAGGTGTGCGCTGCATCGTCGTCCTCGTCCAAGTCGCATCCGAAGCACTTGGGTATCGGAAGCCCCTTGATCTTAGCCGGTCTCGCATTGCTGAAGAACGCGCCCGTGAGGATCGCGATCTCGTGGTCTGACGCTCCAGCGCCGCACGGGTAGCCCGTGGGCAATAGGGCGCCTGCGCGTGCCGTCCGGCAGCGCTGTCCCGCCGCGTGCGGCTGCCCGGGAATGTTGCCCACAGCCTCTTTCGCCATACCTCACGAATGAGGTGGTCCCTGGCGTCTTTGGGGCTGGTCAGGGAGATCTCGGCCCCATCTGCCTCTGGAGGCGCTTTCCAGATCACATGGTCCTGGTCGTCCAACATCATTAGAAATCCTAGCTTTCCCATCGCCGCATCCACGGCCTGCATGACCCCGGTGGCCCTTTTGTCCTTCATCCAGAACTGCTTGAAAGCGTCCTCGACGTACGCGGCTCCGCGTCGCCGGATTCTCGCGTCCATCAGCGTCCAGATTCTGTCCAGCAAGCGCAGCGTAAAGTCGGCAGTGTGGCCAACCAGGAGGAGCTGCTGCAGCGGCCTGGCCCCGGATCGCCACTGGTCACCTCTCACGGCCCTCGACAACATAGTGTCCAATCCTTGTCTCTGCTTCTGGGTCGGGCTCCTGAGGACCAAGGGCCACGTGACCGCTGCGAGCACACATGCCCCCGCCAGTTGTCGGCGCTGGTGCGGCTGAAGCGGCAACCTGATGATCCTTTTCGCCTTCCTCGTGCATTCGTCAATCTTTGTCTGCTCGCGCACTGTCAGCCCTGCACTGGCGCCGATCAAGATCTCCAAACCAAGCAGCCTCACTTGGTCTATCCTGCGCCCAAGCGGGGGATGTCCTCCTCCTCCTCCTCCTCCTCCTCCTCCTCGGCCTCCTCCTCCTCCTCCTCCTCCTCCTCCTCCTGTGAGCGTGACGTAATCTCCTATCCTCGATGACTCACGGCAGGCCGCCCGTGGACGGCGCACATGGGGCGCCTGACGTCGCGCTTCGCGCGCGCGCGAGGCGCGAGGCGCGAGACGCGACAGCTGCGCGCCCTCGCGCCGCCCACCCCAGGGGGAGAGGAGGAGGAGGCAGCGGAGCCGAACCGCGGCGCGAGGATGACTTCGCGGCCCCCCGAGGGCGCCCCTGGCGCGAGGCCGACGGGGCGAGGGCACGGAGCCGCCAATTAGGCCCGGGGGCCTCTCCGCCGGCAGATCCTGCTCTTGGCCGAACCGCTGTGGCGGCGACGCGGGGGAAGAAGCGCCGTGCCCGGGGTGCAGCAGACGCGGGCAAAGAACGAGCATCGGTCTGCGGTTGACCGATCCCGCTCCTCAGGGAGCTC